CTTCCATTCCATTTCGGGGCGGTATAAATTGAGCCTCCCATGTTTTAAAAAATAAAAACAAACATCGTATCACAAAGCTTTTCATTGATCGTACTTGGAAGCTCGTACTATGTTATATATATATGACGATTAAGCTTTATTAAGACATTACAGCTAGTACTAATGTATTTCACGATATTTATATGAGTGTAGCTAGGAATTTTTGCTTTTAAGGATTTTTATTAAGGGGCAGTCGTCCAGTTGAACTTAAATTCAATCTAAAATAAATTACGATATTACTGTATCGTCTAACATATACGGTACAGGGCCTGATTTATAGGTGTGGGGGCCCTGGGGCAACGAGGGTGTGAAGGCCCCTAACGAAGGCGTATTTTAAAAACAGCCACGGGTCATTTACGATTTGCACTCCTTCCTGGTTGTAAATCAGTCGTTTTTTTTATCTCTGTTGTGGGATCCCTATCTTCTTAAATCCGGCTTTTGCATTCATAACAATATTGTATTGTATATCTGAAATATATTCGTCATCACACATTCTAATATTACCCTATCCATTAATCATAATAACCTTAAACTCTCGCTTATCACTCGAAGTACCTTAAAAGACGCACTCCTTAGCGAAGGCTGTGAAATAATAGCTTTAACCTTTCCACTGTAGATACATCACAATTCACATTGTAAAGCTAACTTCTGTAGATTAGGAGAATCATTTTTATATTGATACTATAACTTGTCATTTCTCATTCAGATAATGGACATTTTCTTTCATCATCATCTATGTAAACTGTTAGATAGGATAGAATTCAAAAGACTTGGTAAAGCATCAAAAGTTATGATGAAATAAGATAATGATATAGACCACAAAGGTCAATGCATCTTCATTATACATGTAGATAAAAGTATGAACAGTATTATATAATAAATTTCTTATTCTCTAAAAAAATCTAAGTTGCCCAGTGCATCTTATACACAGGAACCATCTACCATCTTGACCAACTACCATCAAGGACCCGTGGTCCCACAGACTTGACCTACTGGTAGAACCACGATATATACATTATACTAGTCTGGTCATATAAATAATGTTACAATTAAAAAATAATTCAATTGAATTTGCAATCTGCCTTTCTTATTATGAATGTGTGTTTTCTCATTTTCGTGTCAATCGGTGTTTTATATTTTCGTCAAATGAAAATGGAGTGAGGATATAAATAGAACCGAATTGCTGTGATAGCATTACACAAAGTAGGTATGGAGCCATATGGACTTTAGACACTCTTGATCCGTTTGGTATTAGTCGATTGTTTGTTTACCTGGCTATAGTAGGTAGGTACAATAAAACCTCTATTTGTGACTTCAAAACTGACCGCCCACATAGTATTCGTACGAATAATGCGAACAAAGCAGTGAAGGAAAGAACTTGAAGAAATTCTGACCGAAAGCAAATGATTTTACCTCGGGGAATAAATATTTATGTAGTACCTACCTAGATGACGCGTATTTTTGAAGATGACTTAGGATTTGCAGCATATAAGACGCACTGGTCATTATTTAACCGATAATTTAAAATAGCAGATCTTAATCAACTGGAATTATGATTTATGGTCAGTTTTAGAGAGTACGGCATGTTCTAAAAACCTTGATAGTTTGTAAAGGCCCTAAAACAATCTATGAGATTGGCAATGAACAATTTTCCTATGGAGAGAGTGCGTGTTTCTATTGATTATTGCCCTCAAAATACTGTATTAAAGCCAATGGAGATAATTTTATAAGAGCTTCATATATTTTTAATGTTCTAATATTATAAATTAACACACATCAATAATAAATGATTTATGTAGTAGAAAAAAAAGAGTTCTTCCTTATAACAATATTTATGGCAAGACTAGGTACCTATATACCCGTGCTGCTACTGGAATAGGGTGATAATATGGTATCAATAAATTAAAACAATAGCATAGTATTAACGTATTTCGTTTGCTTTGGTCTGTTTCAAATGCATGCTTTATCAGTGAGTATCAAAGTATCTACTTACTTTCTGCCAATGTGGCGCCCAAACAAAAATACGTTATCTATATATATAAAACTCAAAGGTGACTGACTGACATAGTGATCTATCAACGCACAGCCCAAACTACTGGACGGGTCGGGCTGAAATTTGGCATGCAGGTAGATGTTATGACGTAGGCATCCGCTAAGAAAGGATTTTGATCAATTCTACCCCCAATCGGGCTGAGACTTTGCATGCAGGTATAAGAAGAATCATAGATGAATGTCATTGTGTATAATACAAGCCTGAGAACAAAATCTGTAGTCTACACTTCAGCTCTACACCGAAGCGAAGCGAGGGCGGGCCGCTAGTAGTAATATATACGTAAGCGACTATTTAACTGGTTACATCTTTGTAATTATTTGCTACTTAAAGACCGATTTACACTTCCATAAGTATCTATACATACTACCTACAGTAGCGAGTTAAGTCATCAATGTCTTACAACAGTTTAAGTTTGAAATTCTATTGACCTTTTTATTGAACTCTAGTACAAATTTTGTCCTTTTAAAAGCCGAACTATTTTAATTTTAAACCTTTTAGATTTGTAAGATATACTTTTTAGAATAGAAGTCCTTGTAAATAAGTAATTATTTATACACTCGGCGTCAAAATAATCGCACGTCCGCAAAAATAAATTTCAAGCGTTATTATAACCTTTTTTGACGTCGAGTTTAAATTATTAAAAGTCCCGTCTTCATTAAAATATACTTATTCTACGTAATTATGTATTTGAAGAGTGCTGTAAAGCTCTTATCGTTATAGGTTTTTACGAATTTGTTATAAAAAAGAGTTAGTATTAGATATATGTTCGATTAGTTTTAAAGTTATTTATTAGATATATCCACACTCTCATCAGTAAGCGTTGTTTTACCAGAAACAAACTCTTTTTTTTCGTTTTCTACTTTATAAAGTAGCTTTAAGGACAACACTTATGTTGCGGTATTATTAACTTCAATGACTACTTGTATTCACAGTTGCATTATGAATTACGTATCGCTCTTTTTTGTTCACATTGATCAAGGTTTATTGCTTTTTTTATTAGACTTATTATATTTAAAAATACATTTCGTAATTTAAATATTACGTTTAGTTCTAATGTGCGAAATCTTTTCAAGCGATAATTGTATTTATGGAGATAATGTTTAAAATTATTTCAAACCGTTTTCAGTTTGAAACAATTATAGGGCATTTAATATCGTTAGTCGGAAAGTGCTCGCCGCGTTGCTGCCGGTCGTTGTCATTCTACTGTGAATTGACCCTTAGATATCTACCGGTAACGGTACAACAACAACCTTCTGTATCGATATAATAACTGTACCGCTGTATTCGTATCGCCTTCGTCAAAGTTTCTATGGTAACTAAGCAGCGTCCCTACCGGACGTAAGAACAAACTAGCTCCTTCCATGGAAACTGACGATGGCGATACGAATATGGATCTGTCAATGTTCGTGCTTGGGTTACTAAGCCATAAAGCATCAGTCAATCATGGTATTGCAGACTGAGGAGCAGTTATATCGTGCATTTCCCAGAATAAAACTTGGTTTCTATAGCAATAGGCAATAAAGGCGATTTTAATATCTATAGGTAAACAAATAGTAGTACGTATTCATACGATATTAGTTGAGTGTTTCGTATGAATAATATGGCGTTGAGCAGACGACGGGGCAGGGCGGGCATTTTGTCCGCGAAGCAATAAAGACCGTGTCTGCCCGTCGATGTCTGGTCGATGTCGATGATGGACAGAGGCGGTCAGTTTAGGACGTTCGTTCTAGTGAATAGTCCATCACTAATAAGCGCGTGGCGCGGACTGAGCTGACCGCCCCGCGCCGCCGTCTGCGTTACTGCATATAAACTGGTTTGTATGATCCACGGCGGGCAGCCGCGGACATGCCGCGCCGCCACTGCCCGCCGGGCACCTGCGGCGCGGTCTTTTTGCCCTCTGTGTGCGTTTGAAGTATAGGATTCACTTTGTGCTATTATTCGCGGCGAAATTGACCGGCCCGCCCCGCCCCGTCGTCTGCAAAGTGCCTAAACATGATGGAGACGCATTTTAGTAGTAAAAAAGTACGTGATTTCGAGATTTGTAATGCAAGTTTGATTAGCAAGTAGTTTTTTCCCGTCTGTGTCAACTATTAATTTATACAAAAATTCACTTACTCACAATATTAATCCAGTTTTTTCTCCTAAAGAAATCTCATGCATACTTGACAATAATAATAGTACATATAAAAATACTTACTTACCTATTTTATCTTGAATCCGTATTTTTCCACTTTTTAATATTGTGTACTTACCTTTATAAAACTTACTAACTAATTAATACAATTTAATGTATCACTTCTTACATAATCTTACTCATCCGATGTGTAATCGCTATTTCAATAAATTAATGACAAAATGAAATACATATTTTTTTATTAGAAAAATCCCATTTGATTGTTATTAATAACAACTGCCATTGGTAGAGTGGCTTGTACGCCAAGTTGTCATTTTGTGACCATCACTGATGTTTCCGGTTCGGTCTTTTTGATTGTGATATCGTCAATATTCGTTTAAATATACCTACATAAAAATATTTCTAATATTCAGGCCAATTTGTGGCAGTCAGCCAAAGTAAGCACTATAAAGTTTGTGTTAAAAAATACTAGATACGAATACATACTACTGATACATATTTAAGTACATTTATCTAGAAATACGCATAAACGCGCTGACTTACGTACAATTGTTTGTATTTATCATACTAACATTTGCCCCACCTAGATTCGAACCTAGGATCTCTGCGTAGGCTACACCTAGAACCTGATTCACTCACACCAGTCCCCGTAACATGAGCACCACAATTTACCTTACATCACAAGTTTTATCGCGTCTAACTGTCAAACTTCATAGCAATTTAACAATTGAGCGTGATAAAAACACTATATTTATTTATACAATGGTGCTCATGCTAGAGGGGCTGGAGTACGTGTGTGTCACACACCACAATGAGGTCATCAAATGACGGTTTAGACGAATATAGAACAATGTTATAGTAGGGGAGCCCAAGGATTTTGGGATTTACATTTACTCGAACACGACAAAACAGCATAAGAGGGCAACCTTGCACCATGTGCGGTACTCCCACCATATGTGAGCCTTTTATATGGGGTCGGACGTCTAGGGCAGTAAAAAAAATATATCAACAAACGGCTTTGACTTTTGGTAACGTCCAAAAATCGTCAGTCTTAAATAGGAGATATAGGACGGTTCATGTTACATTCCTTTTCAATATCTGACGTGCACTCGAATATTTATTTTCCTATATTCTAACCCCTCGTAAAGCCACCCCGACACCATGCAAACCGGCAGGTCTTCTATCATTAGAAACGTTACGTGAACCCTCCAGTTGTATTAAGAAAACTGACGATGTGGACGTGTCCAAAAGTCATGACCGATTGTTGAATTAATTTTTTGCCGCCCTAGTCATTCGACTCTATATGAAAGGCGCAGGTATGGTGGGAGTATCTCACAGGGTGCAAGATAACCCCCTAATATTATTTTGCTGCGCTCGAGTAAATCCCAAATTGGCAGCACCCTTCACTATCAGGGCGAATGCACAACATTATACTTACGGAACCGTAACGGTTAAAACAGCCAAAGAAATTGTTTCAGGTGTTTACTTATTTCCGTTTAAGATAAAGGGGTCTGTGAAAGACACTGAAAAGGTATATCAATAGGGTTCCTTTGATTAAGGTACCTACTAAGAAATATTGCAGTCGGTCCACTATACTTTTAAATTTCATGTCTCTCGGCTCTTTTGAGAGAGGTACTTTCGGATTTCTACTTGAAGATATATACACAAATAAAAATACAAACGTTTAAACAGTTGACAATCAAAATAACTTTATTCGGTGTTCTTCAATAAATAAAAAATAAATACAGTCAATAAATAACTAGCTTTAAAACTCTAGCCGTATCGTTCGTGCATTCTATTTACAGGGAAACGTTTTGGTGATGGTTTCAATAGGTGGGTGATGATGACGATGATGACGAGGTAGATATTGAGGAGACGCTGGAGTAACTCGGTGACTGGTTGGACGCGGCTGATGTGTTGGAATCACCAGGGAAGTAAGAGCTGTAGGCTAGTTGGGATGGGTCCCATACTCTGGCGTAGGGTCCGGAGCTTGAAGGCTCCCATTGGGGACCGTACGTGTCTGCGGGGGCCGCTGGAGTCGAAGGAGGTCCATACTGAGAGGCCGGGGGACCGTACTGGGGCGCTGGCGGTGCCGCTTCAGTGGGCATCATCATGGGCATACCTGAAATTTTAATATGATTGTCCCTATGATGAGGAAGATTAATATTATCACACCTATTATCTAATTGCGGCCGTTTACCATCAGGCGGGCTAAGTACAAGTTTGTGGACCTTAATTTTCTTTAAAAATATAATTAATGAATACCTCAATTGTAATCTTCTGACTTGTAACAGTTACCAGTGTTATATAAGAAAGAGATTAAAGAAACGTAAATTGCTGCCTGGTCCGCGTGGAATTTTTTCTAATAAAATTTTGTTTAGATTTAAACAACTTAAAAAAAAATCTAACACAAATTGCTTTTAAATGATTCGATTTTTCAAACTTTTGTGGGTTAGCTACACTGTCATAAGTCATTGTGGGTAATGATGTGCCTATAATGTATTGTTCACTTTTATTCAGACAGGAAGCTTAATAGACGGTTTTTTTATTGTCGCAATTCGATAAGATATACCTACTTTTTCTTTTGAGTGTAGTCCAAAGTACTGGGAACTTCGAGATTTTTTAGTAAATGATGATGCTTTAGATATTTATAGGAATTCATTCTATAGGTGTATTAATCGAAAATAAAAGAGTCAAGAGTCCTTTCAAGACTCTTGGTAGACAAGATCTTTTGTTATATTTGAGTTTTTAATCTTTTATAAAGAATACCGCTGAACTATGTATTCGAGACTATTGGTTTTTCCAAGTAGCTCACTGCCTTACCTCCTTTCTTCATTAGCAAGTTATAGATGAGGAAACCGAGAACCAGCGTGATGGCCAGCTTGCTGAGGACAAGAGCTTTTACAGCCTTGATGCCGATGATGGCGACTAGAATCGGCATAAGAGCTTTCATCTTCAGCTTCAGCAGCAGAAGTACTGGCAGCAACAGTTTCTTCTTCAATATGCCTCGAGCTGAAAGGAAATTTACCATGAATAAAATTTTGAAAAGGTGGAATTTTTCTTTAAGTTTTGGTTTATGTTTACCTTCGCCATTTTCCGTCTCGGCCTTTGGGAAATCGACGTCGAAGCCTCTGTCAGCTCTATAGGATACCTCAGCACTTTGGAACAGGAACTCCGGAAGCTGGAATCTGAACTCATTCTCGTTCAGTATCCGCCCAACGCGTTCGAATATGACCTTGTCAATATTTTTCTCTTCCAGCGCCCGCGCTGATTCAGCTGTTACTCCCAATTTGGTGTCCAGGAACGATAGAACTTTCACTTTGAGGCACGATGTAGAGGAATCGGCTCCGAAACAATCACTTATAACACTATCCAACAAATCGTCACTTGTGTACAACCGTGCCGTTTCCACCTCATTATCTTTTATGGAGTAACCGTTTGCGAGGGCTACGGAAACTAAGATTACTGCTAGACACTTCATTTTAATAATTTTCACTTTGTCATCAAATTTTATTAATTAGACGTTCAGCCCGTACGGTTAATGGAACAACAATGATTTAATTTTTCAATGGGCTTGGTATTTATAGTTGGTCCTTTAGGCGGCGAGGCACGCCGCGCGCGCGCGTGCTTCGAATACCAAACGCTCTCATACTTGGCAAACTATTTATTTTCATTTAAGAAAGTCCTGGGTGAGAGTAAATTATTATTTCAGTTTATCGATTCATATTTTGCTATTGCTGGAGTGTTAAGCTGAAGAGTGTACTCACTATATATAAGAATTAAGGAAGCTCTGTCAACCAATATTTTTTATGTCCATTTAATATATATTAAGTTATTCAAGCTTTGTACTGTTACTTAAATATGAATGTGTTTTAGCAATAATAGTCCAGGAAATGAAGTATTTTTGGCTCGTATTGTTTTCGTCCTGCATAGTTTTCCCTGAAAACCTGAGAACAAAATAGGGAATAGCCCTAGGATCAAAATCGATATCATTCCAAGGGGCGCTTTTATTTTGGGGGTAGTTGCCTCCCATCTCGGGGGGTAGATTATTTTTATTTCATTTTCACAGGAATCGATGAAAACGTAATTTTAAGTAAAAATGCTCTATAATTTTTATTCGTTTAAGTAAAATTTTTGTGTTATTCGCTATTCAATGTAACAATTTTATGGCGGAAAAATTAAAGATTTTAAAGGGTATTTCACAAATAACTCGAAAAATATGCGTTTTATCAAAAATGCTGTAAAGAGCAGACTTACTGAAGTTAAAAAAAGTGATACTATTTTTCTGCAACCAAAACGGACCGAGCTACGGCCCCTTAATGGTAAGCTTTTGTACGCAAATACTAAATTTGAAAGATTTAAAGTCAAATGGCGAAAAAACTAAGCATTTTTCGAGGAAAAATTATAAACTCTTTTTTAATGTATATAATTTTTTCTTTATTTAAAAAAATGTCAACATCTAGTATGAAAATTGAGCATGTTATGAAAAACATTAAGGTTATAACAACCCCTGAATTAGCCTCCTAATTAAAATTGATCTGTGTCCTTTTGCAATTCTATTTTTATGTGTATTATCAATACATCCTACAAGTTTGCGCAATTCAAAATGCTTAATTTTAGAAGAAATGCAGGAAAAATGATTTTCCGCAATTCCGAGATACGAATCGAAACGAAATGCTAGTAATAACAGAAAAATTGCTTTTTTGATTACAAAGATTTAGCTTTGCATGGATTTTCTAGAAAATAAATATTTGGCGAAATTATTTAAGAGCAAGCGCCACCTTATTCCAGCCCTTTAAACTCTCCCCATTTTAAAACTTAGGGACTTAAAGGGAATTACATGTAATTTTTGGTAAACTTATTATCATTAAAAAAGAAGGAGCTATGTTTAAAATACCAATCATTTTTTTTAAATCAAAAACACTTCTGGGCATAATAATCTACATAACCAGTATACTCCGCAGTCATGCCCCTCTAGCATGACCACCGAAACGGCATTAACTGTCAAACTACTGTCAAACTCCACTGGACTCTGGTCAAAATGCTCTCGACTTCAGACACAAGTATTTCACGATTTTCTTCCACCTTGGAACGAGGGATATTAGCGCGGCCGGAATAGCAGGTGTCCCCAGTACTGTCATCTGCATAACAATGAACACCGTCAATTGACAGCATATCATTGATATGCAGTAGAAATAAAGTAGGGGACAACACCGAGCCTTGCGGGACGCCAGCATTAATTTCCATGCTATTGGAGCAACTACCATCAACTACGGCTTTTATGCGTCGGTTGGAAAGAAAGCTAGCAACCCATTCGCATAGACCCTCGGGCAGTCCGTATGAAGGTAACTTCGATAGAAGACTACGATGCCAGACCCGGTCGAACGCCTTCGCTATATCAAGACTTACAGCCAGTGCCTCACCTTGACTCTCAACGGCTTCAGCCCATCGGTGCGTTAGATACACTAGAAGGTCACCAGTTGAGCGACCGTGACGGAAACCGTATTGGCGGTCACTGATAAGTTCGTGCTCTTCTAGGTATCTAAGGAGCTGTGAATTAATCACTCGCTCCATAACCTTGGAGAGAAGGGAGGTGATAGCTATTGGCCTGTAATTCGACGGGTCGGATCTGTCGCCCTTTTTTGGCACAGGGTGCACATGGGCCATCTTCCACGAAGTTGGAACTTTCCTAGAGGCGTAAGAAATCGCGAAAAGGCGCGTTAATACTGGACACAATTCAGGGGCACACCGCTTGAGCACCACCGCAGGAATGCCGTCTGGTCCACTCGACTTCTGAATATCAAGAGAGAGTAATTCCCGCCGGACTCCACGTTGAGTAAAAGTAATATCCGGCATGGAATAACCACACCACGGGATATTAGGTGGTTCGGCGCCTCCGTCATTCATTGTCGAGTTTGAGGCAAAGAGATTACCCAATAGATCGGCTTTCTCCTTTGCGCTGTGGACCAGGTTACCATCAGACCCACGGAGGGGTGGTAATGTCGACTGACAAAAATTCCCTTCTGCAGCTTTTGCAAGCGACCAGAATGCTCGACTTCCAGCAGGATGTTTAGCGAGCCGCTCGCCAACTCTGCTAACAAAATCGAATTTTGCCTTGGCAATCGCTCGTTTACTGGATCTTGAAACAGCATTAAATTTCCGTTTTACATCAGAGATGTTGTTATCCTTGTTGGTACGAGCCGTAGTCCAAGCCTCATACGCAGTCTGCTTAGCCAGAGAAGTTTCTCTGCAAGACAGATGAAACCACGGCCGTTTCTTTGTCCCCTGCGCAACTAATGGGTTTGGTATGAAACATTCCATACCAGCTAGAATCGCCTCAGTCACGGCAGCAGCGCAGGGTTCAGGATCATCTGATGTGAAACAGAGCTGTCTCCATGGGTACGATGCGTAAAATTCACGCAGTCCATCCCAGTCTGCTGATTTATAGTGCCAGACGCGTCGCCGTCCAGTTTCACGGAGTGATGTTTTCTGCGTACATGGCACTTGGGTCCGGATAAGACAGTGGTCTGATGAGCCGAGAGGCGCATCCACTGAAATACAATAGCCATCTGGATGTGTAGTCAGCAGTAGATCCAGTAAAGAGCTCGTATGGTCCTCTATGTCCGGTATTCTCGTAGGAGAATGTACCAGCTGAGAGAGTCCATAGGCCAAAGCAAAATTATGAGCAGATCTACCCGCAAAGTCAGTGGTCTTAGAGCTAAGCCAGTCACTATGATGGGCATTGAAATCGCCCAAAATCACTAACTCCGCAGATGGGTACTGCTCAAGAGCTCTGTCTGTCGCCATTCGCAGGTGGTCAAACATGGGTGTTGTGTCCATGTCACCGCTGTGAGACCTGTAGAGGCAAGCGTAGATTCGGATGTGGCCGTCGTAATCCACACGTACCAATAAGATTGACAGGTCTCTGTCTTCAAGGCCATTAAGGCGGCGACAACAAATATCATCCCGGACATACATACAAACTCCGGCACGCCGTACAAAATTATGCTCGAATTTGTAACCGGGGTAGTGTAAGTAGGATGTGTCGGCCGGGCTGGATATTTGTGTCTCCGTAAGGAATAACAGGGCCGGCTGCGCAGATTCCAGATGCTGATGGACTGCGTTGATGTTGGAATGAAGTCCTCTGATGTTGCAAAAGTCCACTTTAAATGTGGAAGAGGATGCCGCTGAGTATCTCTTATTCCTTTTTGTTCTGGCCATAATTATAAGAAAAGTGTGAAAGGTAGAAAGAAATCACTAAGCCATCAACATAAGAGACAATTGTGCTATTACTTCGCAAGAGAGTAAGACAAGTTATGTGGAAAGCTGGCACGGCGGGCGGAAGGGCCCCCGGTCCACACCTGTTACAGCAGTCGGGTCCACTCCGGTCTCCTCCTCCGGCACGACTACTGCTTCAGGGACTTTACACAAACTGGCGGTTCAGCCTCCCAGGGCGGAGATTACGTGATCCCTGGGTTCGGGAACCCGTTCAGCTTGCGGGCGGCCAGCAGTCAGCCGTTTCACCGGGTCTCCCTGACCGCCGTGCCAATACGCCACGCTTGTTCCACTCAAAAGCGATTTGAGATTTCACGGGTCTCTCTGTTGACGGTTTTCTGGGTGCTCTGGTGAAGATGAGGAGTGCAATAATAGTACACCAATAGAAGAAGAGGATGATGACGACCACGACGACGGTAATATGAATGAAGAAATATAAAAATATATTTTTTATCATTGTTTGTGCATGTAAGTATACAGTGTATTTTTGTGTAAATAAATCTTTGTATGTAATTCAACTTATCAGGGTTCTGTATCGCTGTCCTGAATCGGCAAAAACAGAACCATTATAGTATTACTCGGTTGTCTGTCATAGTCGGTTTGCTTGGAATCTACAAGACCGATCAAATTTATTGGGATAAATCTTTTATTTCATAAAGCTCTAACAACGGCTGATTTTTAAGTGTTGAAGTATTCTGAAATTGTAATCCAAAGCACAAAATAATCATTAATCAACTAATTCAAATTTTACACGATTCAAATCTTTGATTTTACCCATCTTAAGGTTTCAAATGTTATAATTTTAAGTGTCGCCGCACACGGGCCACCGACCACAACCACAAAACGCCGCCACCGGCATATTTCTTGCAGTTTTCATACATTTTGTATGGACTCGCCACCGACGGTACGCCGGTCGCCGCCACACGCTACAAATCGTCGTTGCTCACTTCTTGTGGCCTGCACCGGCCACTTAATGCGCCGATACAAAACGCCGCCACACGTCACTCGCGCGATTCCCCACCCCTCTCCCTTACCTTAGTCGGCCGCAGTTGCGCGATTCAGCCACTTTAGCAGCCGCTTCTAGCTTCTCGTGGCGGCGTCTGTTGCTGTGGCGTGTGGCTCGTGTGCGGCGACTAGTAGTTTTGACAATAGGGAATATGCATGTTTTTTTTTTAAATTTTTATTTACTTTACTTCTCCTTTGAAGTACTTACTTTACATCTTCTTTAAACAGTATAAAAATATATTAATAAACGAGTGTGCTTATGACCACACAACTGAAGTGAAACTTTTTTAACTCTATCTGTATGCTATCATAGTTTTAATTCAAACTTGAAATAAATCTTAATTACTGCATTCAGCTTTGGTTGCCAAAAAAAGCTTTCGCCGTTTTCCTAAAGGACTGTATATGGAAAATAATATCTATACTTCCTTCCTTTTTCCAAATGAACTCTTTAACAGATTATTTCCGAACATATCGGTGATGGTGTGGTACACGCAATAAAATTTGAAAACTCAAAGGCAAGAAAGTTGTAATTCTGGGAATTCTGATCAACCGGATCCGACACGAACGATTGGTATACCCTTTCAGTTTAAGCGAATATAATTTCGATTTATCTTGCATACACCATGATGATTAACAAGTCATGAGGTTCATAAGGCACAAAAATTTT